AAATAGTGTACATAATACCTCATCTGAGAAATATAGACACATTCTGAAGAGCCGAAACGTTGTAATAAATATGGCAACAAAGATGAGGACAATAGTCCGGATAATGTAAATAGTGTACATAATACCTCATCTCAGAAATATAGACAGATACTGGAAGGCCGAAACGTTGTAATAAATATGCCGACAAAGATGGGGACAATAGTCCGAATAATTTAAATAGTGTACATAATACCTCATCTGAGAAATATAGACACATTCTGAAGAGCCGAAACGTTGTAATAAATATGGCAACAAAGATGAGGACAATAGTCCGGATAATGTAAATAGTGTACATAATACCTCATCTCAGAAATATAGACAGATACTGGAAGGCCGAAACGTTGTAATAAATATGCCGACAAAGATGGGGACAATAGTCCGAATAATTTAAATAGTGTACATAATACCTCATCTCAGAAATATAGACAGATACTGAAGGGCCGAAACGTAATAAATATGGCAACAAAGATGAGGACAATAGTCTGAATAATGTAAATCGTGTACATAATACTTAATCTCAGAAATATAGACAGATACAGAAAAATTCTTTCACATATAAATTAACAGGAATTGTTTCTTTGCTTTACGCCATTTTGGAGAGTGGGGAAAATAACTCTCTCTCTCTTTCTCTCTTTGAGTCAGGCGCCGAAAAGTTCGATTGTTCTGTATTAAAAGATATGATTTGAGTTGTCATCTGAAATTATCTTTACTTTTTCATTTTTATTTGTACACTTTGTACCGAAATCGTGTTTGCTGTGATAGAAGCAGACACCGTCGGAACATTGTTGAGTTCTAAGTAGTGTGGCTATTAATATATCTTTCACTATGTACATTTTCTTTCTTTCTTTTTTTTTCTTTTTTCTTTTGTTGTTGTTGTCTTCTTATGCGATATTTTATCTAAATCTATGCAGTAATTTCTGTCTAGTTGCGGCCTTTCTCCTCCCGCCTATCAAGACGCCCACTCCACCTTGTCACGTCACATGGTATTATTAACAACCTCATGGATCGTAGAATCACCGATCGGAAAATCGATGCCGAGCAAGAAAAATAAAGAAGAAAAAAAAGGACCGCCATTTTATTTGTCTGTCGACATGACAGCATCGTAATATCGGAAACTTGAAATGCTAAAAATACAATCGTTTTTATATTCGCCGTGCCATCTCTTGTGTCGGTCTCTCATCAATTTAGAAGAGGTAATTGAAAAAATGTATCAATATTATTATTATTATTATTATTATTATTAATAATAATAATATTAATATTAATAATAATAATAATAATAATAATAATAATATTGCTGGTGTAGACAAGCCCAATCCCCATCAGTGGCTGCGTAGTGCAGGGTTGAAAGCTGAAACTGAAGGTTTTATCTTTGCTGCTCGGGATCAGTCCTTGTTAACTAGAAATTATCAAGCACATATACTAAAATACACTGTTAGCCCAACATGCAGGTTCTGTGATAATTACCCAGAAACAATCGATCATCTTGTATCAAGTTGCACGGTATTAGCACCTACTGAATATAAAACCAGGCATGACAGATTTGGACAATATTTGCACTGGAAACTGAAAGAAATTAGTATGAACACCACCCAGGCCCTTGTTACGGAGATAGGGTCTGTTACAATTTTATGGGACTACACAATACACAGAGACAGAAAAATCAAAGCCAACTGCCCAGACATTGTTATTAGAGACTGCAAACAAAAAAGTGACTCCTTGTTGATATGACAGTCCCTGCAGATTGCAATGTATCTTTGAAGATCTTCAAAAAGCTATCAAAATACAAGGACCTTGAAATTGAAATCTCAAAAATGTGGCACATGGGAACATCAACAATCCCCGTTGTAGTCGGAGCCCTCGGATTGGTTGGAAAAGATTCTAGTAGACTAATTGAAGGGATTCCTGGAAGCCCATGCCTTAAAGAAATACAAAAAAAAATTGTTCTCAAGAGTACAGCCCACACCTTGCTTTTTCTATGTAAATTTTTTTTTTTCCAGAGGAAAATGTCATGATGCCATTTCTAACCGGAAAGAAAAGAGTACTGCTCAATGCTATTCAAACACCGTGAAAACAATAAGACGTGAAATGGAGAGCCGAAACCGGGGGGGGGCTAAGATGTCGTGGTTAGCAGGGAAGAATGCAGCAGACGTTTTGATTGCTGCCATACACCAGAAATCTTCCAACAACTGCAGGGGAAACTGATGGAAAAATCCAAGCAAACGAATGCGGAATGCGGGCTTTGGCGTGGGGATTGTGTGTTGCAATTTCCACTATGAACCTGGACATCAACAAGGACCTCCGCTACCAGACACACAATAATAATAATAATAATTATAATAAAAATCTGCAACTTCTACGGGAAGGAAACTGAAAGAAACTGGTATGAACACCACCCAGACCCGGTTACGGAAATAGGACCTGTTACAATTCTATGGGACTACACAATACACACTGACAGAACAATCAAGGCCAACCGGCCAGTTATTGTTATTAAAGACCACAAACAAAATCGGTGCCTCCTTATTGATATGGCAGTCCCTGCTGACTGCAATGTATCTTTGAAGATATTCAAAAAGTTGTCAAAGTACAAGGACCTTGAAATAGAAATCTCGAAAATGTGGCATATGGGAACATCAACAATCCCTGTTGTAGTTGGAGCCCTAGGAATGGTTGGAAAAGATTGCAGTAGACTAATTGAAGGGATTCCTGGAAGTCCATGCCTCAAGGAGATACAAAAAATTGTTCTGACATGTACAGCCCACACTTTACGAAGGGATTTATCTATGTAATTTAATTTTTTTTTGTCAGTGGAAAGTGTCATGAGGCCATTTCTAACCTTAGGTCTCTGGTCTGGACCCGGAAAGAAATGTGTACATGCCAGAAATAAAAATAATAATAATAATATGCCATTTCTAACTTTAGGTCTCTGGGCGGGACCCAGAAAGAAATAAGTACACATCAGAAATCAAACGAAATAAAATAATAATAATAATAATAACAATCGACTATATAGGAAAAAACGGTATCAATATAAACCTGTGATAGATATTTAAAACAAAATTTAAAAAAATATATAAAGTGAGAGGGTTTGGACTAAATTTCACAGAGTCTAATGTTTTTTTTTTTTTTTTTTAAATTGGTTTGGAATATCTGTAAGCAATGAACGGCATTGCGAAACCTTGTCATAGCCAGGCAAGTCTTTGGCACTGGAAACCAAGTCTATATAGTTTTGGAAGTGTCGAAGTAAACTGATATCAGCGAGTAGAAGTTATTTGAATTTCGAAAAGGTTAACCTGCATCTTGATGATTCGTGACGGGCATGAAAATGCCGCAATCGTGATAGCTGCTCAATGCTTAAGGCGTAAAATGGAGATCTGCAACGGAGACGACGAGGCCATGGCTTTTCAGGATGTAACTGAGCAGACATCCCGATTGCTCCCTTACTCCGGTATTCATCCAACTGCGGGAGAATGTGATGGAAGAAACAGGCAAGGCTTTGGCACTGGAAACGGTCGTTGCAGTTTACAATGTCTTGAATGAGGACTTCCGCTACCGGTACATTGAAGAGCTGTAAAGAAAGCTAAAGAAAACAGTTAGACAAAACCAAAGAAGGTGAAAAAGAAGGTGAAACATCCTGTTGAACCAGGGGCAATCGAGTTCTTTTCTGATGAAAAAATTTCTTTTCAAGAGCAGCTGCACATCACCCAGAACAGCTTTCCTTTGTCTCTCTTTCCCTCTATTCGACCCGTGAGTATCAAATTCTCCAGGCCCTCCTTCCTCATTATGTGTCCCAGAAACTTCAGCCCACACCTTTCTTTCTTTTTATGTACCATGTCCTTTCAGGACGTAGGCGATCATGGCTCTCCACCTCCTTCTATCCCATTCAGCTCTCCGCAACTTCTTTTCCTTTGCTTCCATACCAGACAATCCATGTGACGTTCCTTGCGCCATAAAGACCAAGTTTCCTCGAACTTTTGTGGTTGTGGGTGCCATTCCACATCTTTGAACAGGGCCTCAGGTTCAATTTGGTTTGGTTTGGTTTATTTTTTCGGCTTATTAACCTCAATGGGTTATTTAACGCCGACAAGATTTTTATTGCTGGTAAAAAAAATCTTTTTTAAATATATTGTTCGTAATAGATTTTCAAAGCTGTATTGTTGGTGATATTTTTTCCAAAAAATGGATTTGCACATTCCAAAAAGCTGGGCAGAGTATTACGAGAATACTGAGCAATTACGTGACATCTGTCCTTCTTTACGGCAGCGAATGTTGGACGATTTCCTCAACGATGAGGAGACTCGAGACGACGGAGATGTGGTTCTACAGAAGGATGCTAAGGATATCATGGACCGTGTGTGTGAGCAAAGATGAGGTCTTAGAGAGGATGCAAACAAGGAGGAGGCTTATACTTAACATCAGGAACAGGCGGCTGACGTTTCTGGGACATATAGGGAGGAAAGAGGGCCTGGAGAATCTGATACGGACGAGTCGAAGAGAGGGAAAGGGAGACAAGGGAAAACAACGTGTGACATACCTGACGGAAGTGTCCTAAAAGGACATGACACATAAAATGAAAAAGATTTTGATTTCAGGAATAAGCGTTGAAAAGTTTTAATTGCTGAATTATAGACATTTGACTAACGGGTTATTTTAATACGTAGAAAGTGATTCGTTCATAATGGGGAGTTGGGACGTGTGGTGGGTTGGAGACTGAGACCAATAAATTACTTATCACAGTGACTGCAGTAACAAGCGAGATTATTTTTTGTTGCTATTTGGTGTTGTTTCGATCTTCATAAAGTCCACGAAAATAGATTTTCACTGCCACGCCATCGATGAACTTTCAAATCGACCATTCTTTAAGCTCTTAGATTGATGAGAAGACGAAAATGGATTTCGAAGGAGATACACTTCGGCGATATTCTGGGAGTCAGGATGGGAGAAGAAGTGCAACAGGCATGAAATATATAATCCCTTTTGTTTTTGTTCTTTCTTTTTTTTTCTCTCCTATTATTTGTTCATGTTTTTTTATGTCTTTGTTTCCTTTTTTCTTTTCTACCTTCAGACATATCTTTCTTGCTTCACTTTTGAAAATATTATTTGCATTTCTGGTTATAAACTTCTTCTTTTCCTTCATTATTTTATTCCTTCTTTGTTTTCTCTTTTCCTCTTCTTCTTTCGTTTTTTCTTTTTATTTCCTCCGTCTTAATTTGTTTACTCTTTCCTTCTTTCTTTTTTCCTTTTCCTTCATCGTTTTCCTTTTCTTTTTTCCTTTTTATTTCCTCCATCTTTTTTTTCTCTTTCGTTCGTTGTTTTTTCCTTTTCCTTCATCATTTTCCTTTTTTTCCCTTTTTTCTTTGTTTTTTCTTTCCTACATTGTATATCTTTTTCCTTTTATACTTTGCATTTTTTTTCCTTCTTTGATTTTTCTTTTTCCTTTTTATTTCCTCCATCTGGCCTCGTTTTCTCTTTCCCTCTTTACTTTGTTCTTGTTTGTTATTCTTTTTGCTTTTTATTTCTTCCATCTTACTTTGTTTACTCTTTCCTTCTTTGTTTTTTCCTGCCATCTTTGTTTCCTCTGTTTCCTTCTTTTTTCTTTTTTCATTTTTATTTCATCCATCTTTCTTTGTTTTCTCTTTCTTTGTTTGTTTTTTCCTTTTCTTTCGTGTTTTTTCCCCTTTGTATTTCCTCCATCTTACTTTGCTTTCTCTTTCCTTCACTGTTTTTCCTTTAACTTCTTTGCTTTTCTTTAATCCTTTTTAAAACCTCCGTCTTTGTTTTCTCTTTCCTTCTTTTTTTCCTTTTCCTCCTTTTTTCTTTTTCTGTTCTTTCTTTGTTTTCTTTTCTTGCTTTCTACCTTCTTTGCTTTCCGTTTTTCTTTTTCTTAATTTCTTCCTTTTTTCTTTCTTTGTTTTCTCATCCTCTCTTTATTTTCTCTTTCGTTCTTTTCTCTACTTTTTTTTTGTTTCCTTTTCTCCTGTCAATTTTCACCTTTCCATTTATTTTCATGCTTTCATTTATAATATTTTTTTGAATATATAAAATATTCTTCTTTCTTTCTTTCTTTCTTTCTTTCTTTCTTTCTTTCTTTCAGCAGTTATAATGGCGTATTCACGAATTAAAATTCTGGCAATGTTGTGGCATTTTTAAAGCTAGATTTCAAAACTGTTACAAGTTGGAAACGGTGGACAGTATGGACTTAATGTATGTGTGTCCCTTTTCAATGGGTCGAACTGTATTTCTGTGACATATGATCTCGTGATCCTGCTATATATTTAGAGATTCATGATAAAATCGAAAGAAGAATCAGCAATATTATTAGACCTTACGTTGCATCTCGGCTTCAGTAATTTTCCTACCGCCTCTCTGAGCGTTTATCATAAATACTTTCATCGTAATTGTTCAGAGGATCGCTTCGCTATGGTACTTTGACTTCTTTCAGAGTTTTTCTTTCATTTATTTTTTTTGTTTCCTTTATCTTACTTTGTTTTCTCTTTCCTTCTTTGTTTTTACTCTTCCTTCTTTCTTTTTCTTTTTCCCTTTTTCTTTCCTCCATCTTTCTTTGTTTTCTCTTTCTTTGTTTTTCCTTTTCCTTCATGGTCTTTCTTTTTTCCCTTATTATTTCCTCCATCTTACTTTGCTTTCTCTTTCCTTCGTTGTTTTTTTCCTTTAACTTCTTTGCTTTTCTTTATTCCTTTTTATGACCTCCATCTTTATTTAGTTTCTCCTTCTTTTTTCCCTTTTCCTCTTTTTTTTCTTTCTCTTTCTTTCTTTTTTCTGTTCTTTCTTTGTTTTCTTTTCTTGCTTTCTACCTTCTTTGCTTTCTTTTTTTCCTTTTTCTTAATTTCTTCCTTTTTTTCTTCTTTGTTTTCTCATCCTCTCTTTATTTTCTCTTTCGTTCTTTTCTCTACTTTTTTGTTTCTGTCATTTTTTACCTTTCTCATTTATTTTTTTGCTTTTATTTATAATATTTTTTGAATATATAAAATGTTCTTCTTTCTTTCTTTTGTTGCTTTCTAATTTCTTTGCTTTCCGTTTTCGTTTTTCTTAATTTCTTCCTTTTTTTCTTCTTTACAGGAGAAACGAATAACGAAGCGAATACAAGAAAGAGAACAACGAATAATACGGAGAAACCGTTGTAGAGGAAAGAAACGCCAAATCTGAAATTGTGTTGCCAATTTCTTTTGATCACATTCTGTTTATTTTTTGCAAATCATGAAATTAACCTAGGCTTATATGGACTAAAAGAGGAATGATCGGTGATGAAGACGCAGGGTTCATACTGCGCGTTTGCTAATTTGTTTAACGTCTGTAATAAGAACGAAAGATCATAACATTTGTCTGAAGAGATGAAATGCTTTAATATATATTGACAATTCCACGTCTGAAAATCGAAAGAGAAATGGTACTTTGACTGCTTTCATGGTTTTTCTTTCATTTATTTCTTTTTTAATTCCTCCATCTTACTTTGTTTTCTCTTTCGTTCTTTGTTTTTTTCCCTTTTCTTTCTTTCGTTTTTCCTTTTTATTTCCTTCATCTTACTTTGTTTTTTCTTTCGTTTTTTTCTTTTTCCTTTTTATTTCCTCCATCTTAATTTGTTTACTCTTTCCTTCTTTGTTTTTTTTCCTTTTCCTTCATTATTTTCCTTTTTTTCTTTTTTATTTTCTCCATCTTACTTCGTTTTCTCTTTCCTTCTTTGTTTCCACTTTGTTCTTTTTTGTTTTCTTTTTTCATTTATATTTTCTCCATTTAAATTTGTTTTCTCTTTCCTTCTTCATAATTTGTTTACTCTTTCCTTCTTTGTTTTTTCCTTCGTTGTTTTTGTTTTTCCTTTTTATTTCTTGCATCTTTCTTTGTTTTCTTTTTCTTTCTTTGTTTTTCTTTTTCCTTCATGGTCTTTCTTTTTTCCCTTTTTATTTCCTCCATCTTACTTTGCTTTCTCTTTCCTTCTTGGTTTTTTTCCTTTTACTTCTTTGCTTTTCTTTATTCCTTTTTATGACCTCCATCTTTGTTTACTCTTTCCTTCTTTTTTCACTTTTCCTCCTTTTTTCTTTTTCTTCTTCTTCTTTCTTTCTTTTTTCTGTTATTTCTTTGTTTTTTTTTTGTTGAGCTAAATTACTCTCTATTAGTCATTTGATAGACCCCTATCTGCCCTCCGTCATGGCACAACAATTTATTTATGTTTCGAGAGTTCATTTCAATAAAGCCAAATTGGTGCTTTTTTATTTAAAAAAAAAAATAGATAGAGGCAGTTGTTAACTGGGGCAAAGTATGGCTTGTTATCTTCAATGTCTCCGCAGCCACACTGGTCCCTATTAATCATCTAAGAAACCCCTTTTCTACCTTCCATCAACACGGCTGACGCTAACCTCCAGGAAAGTGATTCATTGCGCCTTCTCGGGCTAACGATCTCGGCCGACATGATGTAGAAAGACTATATTGAATGCATTCCTAGATCAACTGCTAAGAAAGTTGGTTTACTGTATCGTGTGAGACAATATTCTTCTCCGGAAGCTATATCTATAAGTCTACCGTTCGTCAAAGCTTTTAATATTTCTGTGACATATGATCTTGTGATCATGCCATATATTTAGAGATTCATTATAAAATCGAAAGAAGAATCAGCAATATTATTAGTCCTAACGTTGCATCTCGGCTTCAGTAATTTTCCTACCGCCTTCCTGTGCGTTTATTATAAATACTTTCATCATAATTTTTCAGAGGATAGCAACGCTATGGTATTTTGATTTCTTTCATAGTTTCTTTCATTTATTCTTTTGTATTTCCTCCATCTTTGTTTTCTCTTTAGTTCTTTGTTTTTCCTTTTCCTTCATGATCTTTCTTTTTCCTCTTTTTATTTCCCCCATCTTATTTTATTTTCTCTTTCCTTCTTTGTTTTTTTTTCCTTTTCCTTCTTTCTTTTTATTTCCTCCATCTTAATTTATTTACTCTTTCCTTCTTTGTTTTTTTTTCCTTTTCCTTCATTGTTTTCCTTTTTTTCCTTTTCATTTCCTCCATCTTACTTTATTTTCTCTTTCCTTCTTTGTTTTTTTTCCTTTTACTTCTTTCTTTTTATTTCCTCCATCTTAATTTATTTACTCTTTCCTTCTTTGTTTTTTTTTCCTTTTCCTTCATTGTTTTCCTTTTTTTCCTTTTCATTTCCATCTTACTTTATTTTCTCTTTCCTTCTTTTTTTTTTTTTTCCTTTTCCTTCTTTCTTTTTTATTTCCTCCATCTTAATTTATTTACTCTTTCCTTCTTTGTTTTTTTTCTTTTCCTTCATTGTTTTCCTTTTTTTTTTCCTTTTCATTTCCTCCATCTTACTTTATTTTCTTTTCCTTCTTTGTTTTTTCCTTTTCTTTCTTTCTTTTATTTCCTCCATCTTAATTTATTTACTCTTTCCTTCTTTGTTTTTTTTTTCCTTTTCCTTCATTGTTTTCCTTTTTTTTTCCTTTTTCATTTCCTCCATCTTACTTTTTTTTCTCTTTCCTTCTTTGTTTTTTTTTTCCTTTTTCCTTCTTTCTTTTTTTTCCTCCATCTTAATTTATTTACTCTTTCCTTCTTTGTTTTTTTTTTCTTTTCCTTCATTGTTTTCCTTTTTTTCCTTTTCATTTCCTCCATCTTACTTTTATTTTCTTCTTTCCTTTTTTTTTTTTTTCCTTTTACTTTTTCTTTTTATTTCCTCCATCTTAATTTATTTACTCTTTCCTTCTTTGTTTTTTTTTTCTTTTTCTTCATTGTTTTCCTTTTTTTTCCTTTTTCATTTCCTCCATCTTACTTTTATTTTCTCTTTCCTTCTTTGTTTTTTTTCCTTTTCCTTCTTTCTTTTTATTTCCTCCATCTTAATTTATTTACTCTTTTCCTTCTTTTGTTTTTTTTTTCTTTCCTTCATTGTTTTTTTTTTTCCTTTTTTTTCTCCATCTTACTTTATTTTCTCTTTCCTTCTTTGTTTTTTTTTCCTTTTCCTTCTTTCTTTTTATTTCCTCCATCTTAATTTATTTACTCTTTCCTTCTTTGTTTTTTTTTCCTTTTCCTTCATTGTTTTCCTTTTTTTCCTTTTTTTTCCTCCATCTTACTTTTTTTTTCTTTCCTTCTTTTTTTTTTCCTTTTCCTTCTTTCTTTTTATTTCCTCCATCTTAATTTATTTACTCTTTCCTTCTTTGTTTTTTTTTCCTTTTCCTTCATTGTTTTCCTTTTTTTCCTTTTTATTTTCTCCATCTTACTTTGCTTTCTCTTTCGTTTTTGTTTTTTTTTTCCTTTTTCCTTTTTTCCTTTATATTTCCTCCATTTTAATTTGTTTACACTTTCCTTCTTTGTTTCCTCTTTTTTCTTTTTTCTTTTCTTTTTTCATTTTTATTTTCTCTATTTAAATTTGTTTTCTCTTTCCTTCTTTGTTTTTTCCTTCTTTGTTTTTGTTTTTCTTTTTTTATTTCCTCCATCTTAATTTGTTTTCTCTTTCGTTCTTTTTTTCCTTTTCCTTCTTTTTTTCCCTTTTCATCTTTGCTTTTCTTTATTCCTTTTTATTTCCCCATCTTTGTTTTCTCTTTAGCCTTTGTTTTTCCTTTTTCCTTCGTTTTTTCCTCCTTCTTTTTCTTTCTTTCCTTTTTATTTTCTGTTCTTTCTTTGTTTTCTTTTGTTGTTTTCTACCTTCTTTACTTTTGTTAAGTTAAGAGAATATGTTGCTAATTAAGTACTACGTTTAAATTCTTGAACTTCACCGCAACACTTAATTATCAGCTGAATTGACTTGATGTAACCATAATTTATATAGTAAGACTTTCTATCCTCGCATTTCTCGCTTGAGGAAACACTCCATGCTTTCCAGCCAACCTTGGTTTTCAAATATTTAAGTGCATGTCAATCGCTATCTACTGATTTGTCCTCTTTTGTTATTCCTGTTTAATAATGTTTCTAATTTCTAAATCTTTTACACCCACTAACGCCTTAGTAGCTTTAAGCCCTTGCATGGGGTGAATTTGAAACAAACAAAACGTAGCTGAATGCTAGTCTTTTAAACATTACATGACTAACACAATTTTCATAAAAGAAAAAGATTGAAGGTTATTTATTCGTAATGCATTCATGATCTTGCAGATAAAAATCTGCACGACTTATCAAAAGATTACAAGAAAAGAAAATCGTCTGTTTTTCCACGCATTTTCTATTTGAAGATGCCATTTTTTTGTCGTTAGTGGTTCAATATTTGATTTGTTTAATTCTTTTGTTCCCTGGTTTTATTATTTTCGTTTTTTTTTTTTTAATTTTTTATTTGGGTTCTAAACATTAACACGACAAGCCGAAACATTCTTTCAGGTGAGGTCAGTTTCTTCTCCCCACCCCCGTAGCAAAGATTGAACAAATTGGAATTGAATTTTGTTTTCCTAAAATCACGCAAGGAAAAATGAAATCTCGTTGGAACGTGATTAGTGAAAGACGAAGGAAAGTGACCATGAAGATGGTAAATAAATACATAGAAATCTGATTGAAAAAAAACAAACAAAAGCCAATGATAAACAACAAAGATAAAATGGAAGAGAGAGAGAGATAAAAATAAGAGAACGAAGAAAGAAAGAAAGAAAGAAAGAAAGAAAGAAAGAAAGAAAGAAAGAAGGGAACGAAAGGGGGAAAGAAAAGAAAGAAAACACGTATCGAAAGAAGATAGAAAGAAAGAAGGAAAGGAGACGGAAGTGAACAATGAAGGAACGTCAAAGGAAAGAAAGGAAGACAGAATAAAAGTAGAAGACCAAAATCAAAGAAAGAAAGAAAGAAAGAACGAAATTAAAAGGAAAAGAAGAAAGCGACAAAGTAAATAGAGAACAAAGATAAAAAAGGAAGTGTTGTGTCATTTTTTCTACGACACGTGACCAGGAGTCAACTCCGTTTACTATCTCTTCTACTTAAGATAAACGAACATGTAGAATCCTATTTGTCAATCTTCTACACCCACCTAACCCTAACCCTAAGAGTTTTAATGTCTTAGTTGTTCTCGAACTTCTTCTATAACGTCTTTCATCCCCTCCCCACTTGGGTTATGTCCTATTTTTTTAATGGTCTCATTTAATCTTCCGTGTCTGAGTCACTCCCGCTATCATCCATTGCATTATCCTAATCTGAAGAACTCATCCTTTCTTCTCTGTCAAGATCTTCTTCTATCACGATACTTTCACTTCAAGCCTGGATCTTAATTGGTCAAAATGGACCACTAGGTTTTACCCTTTCTTTGATGTACTTTTGCATGATGAAATTAGCACTCTGTGATTACTGTGACTTTCTTCTACCGCAAAAAGAAATAATAGAATGAAAGAGAACGGGAGGAAAAAGGTATGCATGGAGAACGAAGATAAAAAAAAGATAGGAAGAAAGAGTTATGGAGTGAATTCCCAGTGGAGGCTTGTATTTGTACTAAGTCGGTCCTAAAATAGGTTCGACGTACAAAACGTTAGGAACTTGATATAATAGGTAATGACGCAGAGAAATCTAATTGTGGTCGCTGATACTTTAGTATCCAACTAATGGTCGTCCGGCATCGACTGACTGCCCGACGATATTTAGTCACCCCCTCCACATGGGCATCATGTAGCACAAGGCCGGTTTAACATGGGATGTCTGAGCCCGTGGGCTCGGCCAAAAATATGCCCATTGAACCCGTATAAACGGGCTCAGGGTCGGTTTACCTCCCCGAAAGAGAATCCGTCCTTCGGCGTAGCCTCTTTCGGGTTCTTCCCCGCCCGAAGGTCAGAGAGTTCAACCGATCAGCCAGAACGAAGATTATAAAAAAGCGAAAGGGAAGTAAAGAAAGCAAGGGTTAAAAGAAAGTAAGAAGAAAAGAAAGAAGAGAACAAAGAAAGAAAGAAAGATAGATAGAAAGAAGAGAACGAAAAAGAATAAAGAGAAAGAAAGTCGAGAGAGACGTCCTAGAAGCACTCAAGGACTCGACTCTTATCCAAGCAAGAACGATGGATCTCTTAAGGCCATCTTGACCACGGACATATTCCTTTTGTTGTTCTAATTAAATCTGTCTCTTTAATATCGCTCTGTATTATTAGTTCAGCTTGTATTGCTTTCAGTATAATAGTAACATTAAACAACTATTCACAAACAACACCAAAATACTAGCAAAATGAAATCATAAAAACAAACTTATGGATTGTTGAAGCAATACCCATACAACAAAAACAACCTTCTATAAACAAAAACAATTATAACTATATCACATATATAATTATGTCGTCGTAGTGAAGACCGCTTTCCAAGGCATGCAGCAATAAACGACATCATCAGAAGAGGTCTGGATGCAGCTGGGTTTCCCTTCCCAAATCGAATCCGTAGGCCTCGACCGCGGTGATAGAGGCCGTATAGGATTACCATTTTTCCTTTTAAAGTGGGGAAGTCGTTGATTTGGGATGCGACTTGTGTCGATAAATTTTCGACCGGTAATTTGATCAGGTCCGCGGTTGTGCCCGGGGGTCTGTCGCACGGGAAGCGGAGATAATAAAAAAAAAAAGAAGAATAGTTAAATATTCATCTCTTGCGGACAGATTTATTCTTACTACAGTTGCAGCAGGGAATTCTGAGATTATTGGGCCCCGTTCGATGGTGTTCCTTCGGAGGGTTGGCAGGATGGCGTCTCGATTAAGGGACGAGCCTCGTGAAACGGAGTGGCTCTTGCGACGGTGTTAGGTAATTGATTTCATTGAGGCTGACGATATTTATTGTGAAAAAAATTACACAATTGTGGGGTGAAGGTTGAGGCTGGTCCTTACTATCTATCTTATACCTAGCTACCTTGTAATGTATGAATGGCTCGTGAATCGACCCATTCATACATTACAATTTCCATATTCACCACAAGAACTCGTCCATCGTCCAATAGGTTCTTTTATTTCCATACAAGCTTGAAGTTTTCCATGTTACAAAGTAAATCAAAAATGATTTCAAAATATTAGAGAGACACGATGGAACAATTTTAATATATATTTTTCTTCATACTGTCGGATCTATATCCATATATTTGCTTATATATATATATATATATAACGTTATGTTCAATGAGTATACGCATTTTAGTAGACAACTATTTATCTGCCTGAGCCAAGAGAGTGCCCACTGACGATAATCACAGGCAGTGCGAGATTTGAAAGACTCTTCCTCTTTCACTATGGACTTTACTAGGGACAGGACGTTCTCTATTCGTTCTGTTAGCATGCAATTAATTTTGGCCCCTTTGACTTTATTTCTCATTCTATTTTTTGTAACATGCCAGTTTAATATATTTATGAATACCTGTTTGTTTAGATTCCATATTTCATGTCATATCTTTGTCCAGATTCACATGAGTCGGCCAAAATCTTGTGCGGCACAAATGTAACAGGATCCCATAAATATCTGTCTCTTTTTTTTTTTTTTAGATGTAATTGTATCGCAATTATTTACACTATTTACATTATTCCAGCTGTTGTCCCCATCTTCGTTGCCATATTCACGACGTTTCTTCAGGCGATTGGAATTTCGAACTGAACCCTTTATATCGTCCACCGGCGTAGATTGTTCTAGTTCCACGTGCCAGGCCTCTTCCGGGTGTCTCAGTTATCTCCCCTTTAACTCAACTCTCCGTGTTTTGGTTCACCTCTGCCGTTGCCAGGTATTGAACTCACAACTCTTTGAGTTAAGTCACTCAACCAATGCTGGCTGAGCGCACATGGCCCCGAGTAGTGTCGGAGAGTAGAATTAAAAGGGGGAGACAACGTGACTATGGCAGCGGAGATGAGGACACCGGTCCGAACAATGTAAATAGTGTAAATGAGCCTATAAATATTTACTGAAAAATGTCACACCTCGCAACAGAAGTGATGAGTCTTGCAACGAAACTCAAATATAAACAATCACTATTTACCTATTTTTCAACCAGCTGAGTGCTTGTAGACATAACAAATATTTCCCAAACCAAGCAAACGGATTCAAATGTTTTTAATCAGGTAAATGCTATGGTTATGGATCCTTACAGGGTCAGTTTCAATTCTCGGGTGGGGGGTCGTGTTGTTTGATATCAAATAAATGGAGGAGAATACGAATGGGGAGACGATGCGGTGAGAGGATGCGGTTAAAGAAGAGAGAAAAGGGAGAGGAAAAAGATAGATAGATAGATAGATAGATAGATAGATAGATAGATAGATAGGGCACCAAGTAATGAAGAAAGGAGGGGGAGAAGACAGTGAAGGAAAGAAAAAGAGCGACGGAGGGAGAGAAAGAAAGCGGGAGGCAAAGAAGAAAGAAAAAACAATGAAAAAAATGAAAAAGTATGAGGAACAGAAAAGAAAGAAAGAAAGTAGAAAAACTGATTAAGTGGAAAAGAAAGAAAGAAAGAAAGAAAAGAAATAAAGAAAAAAGAAAGAATGAAAGAAGAAAAAAGAAAAGAAAAGATTGAAGGAGGGAGAGAAGATAATGAACAGACGTAGGAAAAATGGAACGAATGAACGAAAGAAAGAATGAAAGAAATTCAGAAAGAAAGAAGAAAAGCAAGCAAGTAAAGTAAAACAGATTGAAGGGGAAAGAAAGAAAGGAAAACAGATTAAAGTGTAAAAAAGAAAGAAAGAAAGAAAGAAAGAAAGAAAAAGAAGAAGTAAGAAAGAAAGAGGAAAGAAAGGAAAGAAAAAAAAGATTAAATGGTAAAGAAGAAAGACAAAAGAAAAAACAAAGAAAAAGGAAAACATAAAAAAAGAAAGAAAAGTGATAACAAGAACAGAAATGATTCAGGGAGGGTGAGAAGAAAATTAACAAACGTAGGAGGAATTGAAAGAAAGAAAGAAAGAAAGAAAGAAAGAAAGAAAGAAAGAAAGCAAAAGAAAGCAAAACAGTTTAAAGGAGAAAGAAAGAAAGAAATGAAGAGAAAAGGAAAGAAAGAAAGAAATGATTCAAGGAGGGAGAGAAGAAAATGAACAGACGTAGGAAAAATGAAACGAATGAACGAAAGAAAGAATGAAAAAAAATGTAGAAAGAAAAACAGATTAAAGAAAGAAAGAAAGAAAAAGGAAAACATATAAAGAAAGAAAAAGAAGAAGTAAGAAAGAAAGAAAGAAAAGAAAGAAAGAAAAAGATTAAATGGTAAGGAAGAAAGACAAAAGAAAAAACAAAGAAAAAGGAAAACATAAAAGAAAGAAAGAAAGAAAGAAAGAAAGAAAGAAAAACAGATTAAAGTGAAAAGTAAGAAATACAAATGAAAAAACAAAGAAAGAAAAATATATACGGATAAAAGGGAAAGAAAGAAAGTAAGAAAGAAAAAAAGCAAAAGAAAGAGAAACAGATTAAAAGGAAAAGAAATAATGAAAAGAAAAAAAGAGAAAAAGCTAAAGAAAGAAAGAAAGAAATTAGAAAGAAAGAAAGAAAAAGGAAAGAAAGAAAAAAGAAACAAAGAAAACATATTAAAGTGAAAAGTAAGAATTGCAACAGAAAGAAAGAAAAACAGATTAAAGTGAATAGAAAGAAAGAAAGAGAAAAGAAAGAAAGAGAAAATCAAGTAAGAAAAAGAGGAGCGAAAGGAGACAAAGCAGTAAAATAGTAGGAGGGGGGAAAAGAAAGAAAGAGAATAAAGAGATAAGTGATCGAAAAAGAAAACATAAGAAAAGAAGAAATAGGAGAAAAGAAAGAGCTGTAGGAGGAGTGGACAAGAAATAGGAAAAAGTAAGAAAGGAAAGAAAAAATATAATAGGAAAGAAAGAAGAAAATAAGATTAGGAAGAAGGAATATATACAAAAAATAACGAGAAAAGAGACAGAGAGAATCTGAGAGAGAGAGAAATGTAAAATGAAGAAGGGAGAAAAAATGGGTGAGAAGGAGAAAGAGAAGAAAGAGGTGGAGAAAATGGCGAAGAGAGAGAGAGAGAAAGAGTATCCTTCACATAGTGACCCCCGCCCCTTGTGAACCACGACACCGAACCACACGTTAAACCTCTTAACGAACATTTCTCTATTCTAAATAGTCAGAGGAAAATAATAAT